CTTTAACTAAATAATTAATTACTATATTATTTATTATTTTATTAATAAAATTTAAAACTTAATAGTAATAAATTAATATTTAATTAATAATTAAGTAATTACTATTTATTAGTTATTACGTCTATCTATTTATTAATTATTATTTAATATATAATATAATTAGTAATTAATAATTAATTATTTAATATAACTTTGTTGATAAGTATTAAAAAATAAAAACAGAAAAAGAAATACAACTTTCAATCGTTTTTTATTTTTTTCACAAAAATTATTCTTATTATTTTTTATTTTTATTTTTATTTTTATTTTCAAAACTTTTATTAAACAAACACAATTTATAAATTATTTTCGTTTACATGTCTCAAAAGACAGAAACGTTTTTTAAAACAATTCCAAACGCACATTTGTTTCCGTTGACCCCAAATCAAATCAATGGCACACTCAACGCTGAAATTCCATAAATGCCACTGCCACTCTTCAGCAATCCAACTCTTGGGGGCACGGTCTCTCAGCTCAACTATATACATGTTTTTTCCCCCTATTTTGCAGGACGTTTAATTAAAAAAAAAAAAAAAAAACTGTTATTCATTATGTCTTGCGGTTATATATCATCGTTTTGTTCCAAATGATGTCGTCTAGTTTTTTTTTTCGTTGTCTTCTTAATTTTCTGGCCCTCTCTCTAGAAAAATTAGGACCGATAATATGGGTCACGACATGACAATACAACTAAAAAATAATATAAATTTTACAAGTTATAGTTAAAAAAAAAGGAGATTCAGGTTAAAATTAGGTCGACTTGAAATTGACACGAAAAACACATATCAATTTCATGTTAAACCCACATAACCCGAACACAATACAAAACTCGTAAAAAACTAAAAAATACATATATTTTTCATTATATATTTTTAATTTTATTATGAACTTGTAATATTATGATAGTTATACTTAAAATCTTATACTATTATTTATTTAATTTTAATGGATGTTATTATATTTTAGTGTGTTATGAATTTTAAATTATTTCTAATATGTAAAAAATAAATAAAAGTATATAATTTTTATGTCAATTTCAGGTTCACAATTATTTTCGTGTCGTACCGTGTCAATTCGTAAAATAATCGTGTCGTGTTACAATTTTTAAAAAATTTTATATCATGAATCGTATTAGAAAAAAAAAAAACCGATCAAAATACGTCAACGGTACGTGCCCTAAAAAAAATTCTGATTTTCCTACCAAAAAAAAAAAGAAAACGCTATTTCCTCCGTTTCCTCCTAAATCGGACGTTATATTTGCGCACCTGGAGCATATTAGCACCCGTCGCCGCCGCCAATTTTATCCCTCCGGAATTTCCATAGCCGAACAACCACCTTTTTTATTTTTAATTTACTCCATTAACAGAGTTGAGCTCAACTTCACCACCCAAAAAAAAAAAAAAGCTCAGTGCTGAATTGAAGAATCCGGCGGAGAAAGCGATGGAGGTTGAAAGTGGCGTAATCGGCGGCGTTATATTGGACGATTCGGCTGTATTCTCAGATGAAGATAATAATATTAACAATAATAATAATAATCTCATTCTCAACTCCCTTCTTCGTAAACTCCGCTATTCCGCTCTTTCTACGGTACGCCACTCTATTTTCCTTTTCATCTTCATATATATATATATATATATATATGTGTGTGTGTGTGTGTGTGTGTGTGTGTGTGTGTGTGTGTGTGTGCGTGTGTTATATTTGTTTCATCTTAATTCATTTTCGCAGGCCATTTCTTACGATGATGCTCTTTCATCTCCCAAGGTACTTTCTTTCTTTCTTCATTCAATTCAATTCGTTCCTAATTGTTTGCCTACAATTATCACTCAATTCTGTGTGTATTTATATGTATAGACTGTATGTATAGGTGGATCTTCTTAAAAGCACGGCCACACTCTACTCAATGCATTGCTTTTCACTCGACAACGAAGAAGCCATCGAACAGATTAAGCGTGACGTTAAAGGCGTTATTTTGTATGTCGTCTCTATCCACAAGAAGGACCTTTTTCTTAAACAGCTCATTCCTAATTTGCAGATCGCTTTTCTAAGTTAGTATTATCTGACTCTCATTGCTTCAATCACACTTTTATTTATTTATTTTTATCAATTTTTAGTCAGTAATGTATTCCTTTGGTTTAAGACGTTGAAGGTGCTAATGTGTATGAAAATTCAAACATTATTTGTATCAACAAGTTGGAGGAATTGCCTTTGACTATTTGCCGCGTCAATAGAAAGGTCAGAAAGAATTGGACAATGAAACTCTTATTGCTTCCAATTACTTTATTTAGGCATGCCATTGTTCCTCATTTTTCATGTTTTTCTCTGCAAGCAGGCAATGGGAAATGATGTTGTCACAATTGGTTATATCATGAAGCCTTCACGTGAAGAAGATTTTGCTAAGGTAAAGCCTTTTGCAAACAAACGAAGCTATACAATGTTGCAACAAAGATAAATGATCTGCACACATGTGCCAATGCATCAAAACTCTCACATAGCGATGTGAAGATCGGAAATTTGCCCCTTTTTTTATGCTTTTATTTTTGTAATACATATGGTGATACATATAGCAATTGTTTGCAAGAAAAGGTCTAGCTTGCATTATGCATGGTTCTGCTTGCATTTTGTAACCATGACGAAAGTGTAAGTCTGTCTGCATGTATTTATCTCATTGAGATTTGAAGCTAATGGGTCATCTTAAATTTTGCAGAGGGGTGCATTCCCTTTATATCCAACGCGTGATGGGTTAATGTTCCTTCCTCTCACATTTGAGCTTCCACTTGCACCTCAACTACAAGAAGTTGATATAATTCTTCATAAAGCAACTGACGAAATCATATCTATCGATATGACTGGCACTGCAGAATTTGCAAATAGAATAACTTTCACCAGGGGCATGCAAGAATTGAAAAGGTAAACTATGAAGGCTATCACTCTTGTCATATGTAATCTAGCTCTCTTTCTCATTTGCCATGTTAGTTTGCATCCGTCAGCATTATGCACATCTATGCAAATGCGTTTTTATGTAACTAGCAATTTATGTACTTATTAACTAGCAATTTATGTACTGACATGAGCTTGGAAATGTTGAAAACCGAATGTTATCTATTTTTGAAGGCTTTTTGGAGTTATTGTGTTATGTGGATGGAGTGTAAGGATTACTTTAGGATGTGCTTACTCTGTTACTAATTATTGGTACTAGGATTTCTAGCTTCTTTGTTTCCATTTAAGATGTTTGTACTTAACCATCTACATTTTTCTCCTCAAGGTAATAAGTGATATTTGGATTAGAAGCACCAGTGAGGAGTCATCCCTATGTCATACTGAACGTTGTAGTGCTTTCTGATATTGTTGAACAGATATATGGATCATCCCCCAGACTGTTGTGTGATTGACCAACTTGATAAAATCTACCCTGTATTGGATCGGCTAAAAATTCAACAGACTCTTCTTGGGCTACAAGATCTCAATGCTCCAGGCAGACAAATAATCAGGGGTCCGCATTTTCTTAAGGTCTTTATTCCATTCTAGTAATTGAACTTCACAAATCAGTGAAATAAAGTGTAATAGCCAAATTTCTGATACATTTATTTGCTAAGTTCAATCTAAAATTTCAGGTCAATGATTTTAGGGATCCCAGTCTTGATCAGAAATTATCCGGGGCTAAGTTATCTCTTCCAAGTATAGTGAAACCTCAAGTTGCTTGTGGTGTAGCCCATGCTCATAATATGGTACGTTTATTTAATTCCTTTTGGGTTTTGGCACTACAGACTCCTATTTTCTCTCTCTTCTTTCTTCCTTTTTCTTTAGACTACAAACCCAAAGGAATTCTTCAGATGTTTTTGGTCGAAATTCCTCCGCTATTTATGTTCTCCGAATCTAAAGCGCCAGTAGTTACTTGATAGGCAATTGTCTTTAAAGTTGAAGATTTTAAGGATTTGAAAGTTCCACTTCCAGCAATTATTCAGGTCAGCAAGAAATGTCTTTTGTTTGATCAATTTTTGTGTATCTATATTTCCCCGAAACAATATACGGGTACAACTATGCTAATTGAATTCTGAATTTTTTTATTTGCAGGAATATGTGGACCACTCATCGACTCTCTATAAATTCTACGTCTTGGGTGATAAAGTATTCAATGCGGTTAAGAAGTCTACACCAAATGCACATATCCTGATGAAATTATGTGGAGACGATGAGCTCAAACCTTTGGTGTTTGACAGGTAGTACGAATTCCACATCTTCTTTTGGTTCTGGTTTTGTTGATTTATGTATTTGATACCGAAACCTTGTCGATCTTCTTTTGTAGCTTAAAATCTCTTCCCACTGCTGATGAAAAGCAACTGTGTGGAGATAATATTGATCATGGTTTGGTCACTGAGGCTGCAAAGTGGCTAGCGAGAAATCTTGGTCTGACCATCTTTGGCTTTGATGTTGTTGTAAGTTTCCAACTTGATTTTTCTACTCGAACTAAAATAATATCTTACATTTCTGTAAGGTGTAAATACTGGTTGAGGCAATTATGTCCAATTAACCATAATTGGCTCCATATGAATATTGATCAAAAGGAGTGTATAGGAGTGGTTTGGTGGTGAGTTTTATCATGAGAAATTTAAACATGAACATCATAAATGCATGGGTCAAAATTCTTTAGATTTTGTGGACTTCAAATTGTTGTTTTTTCTCATCTTTTTTCTTTTTTAAACCACTCATAGTTGTATTTTATTTTCATGATCATGAACTTTTTTGTATAATCTTTTCGAGTTGATAACGTATATGGGTTATGGTGAAATTTCAGATTCAGGAAGGCAGCAGGGACCATGTGATTGTTGATGTGAATTACTTGCCATCATTCAAAGAAGTTCCTGAGGGAGTTGCCATACCTGCGTTTTGGGATGCTATTAAGAAAAAGTTGGAATCCAAACGGACCACATAAAAGAACAATTAGGTCGTTTGGTTGGAGGTTTAAGGAGTTTGAATCAGGTTCAAGTTCAAATAAGTGTTTATTTGTAAAAAGTAATGAGCCCCTTGATGTGACATTTAAACCCTCAAAATAAGAGGATTTTAAAACTTAAATCTCCTGGAGTTTCTAAAGCTTTGAACCCACGTTCAAAACCCATATGGTTCAAACCCACCCTAATTTGAACCCCTTTACTAAACCATATATTTGCTTCTTATGTTGTGCTAATGACTAGAAAGCTTGACAGATGTTTTCAATTGAGATATTTACATTTTTATATTATGTGTTTTAAGTTTATTCAAAATCTATGACAGTTTTAATATCATCAAATGTATACCTTTAAGTTACATTTAATATACAAATTTATACTTATTTCGGTTAATAATTGATTTTAACCTTTAAAATAACCAAATTATCCCTAACAAAGAAGAGAAAAGAAAACTAAAACTTTTCAATATTACAAGTAATAAAAATTTAAAACACAAAAAATCTATTTCAACGGTATTTTGTATATTTTTAAGGTCAAAACTGTAAGTTTAAGGTTTTTTTTAGTTTTTTTTTCTTTTTTTATTTTTTATTCAAGGGTATTTTAGGTATTTTAAAGGTTAAAATCAAGGGTTAGTTGTAGAAATGTATAAATTTAATTATTATATCTAATTTAAAAGTATACATTTAATGAGATAAAAAAAATTAAAGGTACAGTTTTTAAATAAATTCAAACACAATGTATAAAAAGGTAAATATTCCGTTTTCAGTTTGACCGAATTATAATGTTTTAGCTCTTGTGCCCCTAAAACTTCTTATCGTTTGGAATTTTCATCCTTTAAAAATTATTTCCAACAATTTAGTCCCTGAGTTAGTCACAAAATTCCCTAAAATTTTACTTTTATTAACGGTTAGAATTACTTGCCATTCTTTTTTCAAATAATTCCCTAAATTTTACTAATGTTAGCGATCAGAGTAATGACTCTTTTATAAATGCAGGAATTAAATTTTCAAGGAGAAAAAAGATGTTTAAGCATGAGCCGAACAAAGAAAATATAAGTATGACTAGGGCTGTTCATGGGTTGGGTTGGTGCGGGGTATGACTTTTTTTTCCCCGCCCCAAAGGGTGCGGGTTGCACATATTTGGCCCCAACGATGTTAGAAAAATTTTACAACCCAACGATGTTCGGGTTGGGTTGGGGCGGTGCGGGGTGGGTTGGGTGGTCGGTTTCAACATTCAAAAAATCAAAGACTTAAAAGTTCAATATAATATTCAAACTTCATCATTAAATAGAAATAGCAACCATCCTTATCAGTCCGGCGAGAGAGCACCGGAGAAAGTGGGCAAGACGGCGGCCGAGAGGACTGAGCAATGAGGAGAGAGTTATGAGGGGGTTCACAGGAGAGGAAGAAGAGGGAAAACTGAAAAGGAAGAGGCAAGAAGAAGGGGTTTACGAGAGGGGAGACCGAGAATGAGATTGTGAACCCTAATGTTAG